GGGATGTTGTGGGTCGGTGGGCGGAATACTTTGAAGACCTCCTCAATCTCACCGGCACATCTTCCACTGAGGAAGTGGAGCATGGGGACTCTGGGTTGGGCCCTCCAATCTCTGGTGCTGAGGTCACTGAGGTGGTTAAAAAGCTCCTCGGTGGCAGGGCCCCAGGGGTGGATGAGATTCGCCTGGAGTTCCTTAAGGCTTTGGATGTTGTAGGGTTGTGATGGCTTACGCGACTCTGCAATATTGCGTGGACATCGGGGGAAGTTCCCCTGGATTGGCAGACCGGGGTGGTGGTCCCCCTATTCAAAAAGGGGGACCGTAGAGTGTGTTCCAACTACAGGGGAATCACGCTTTTAAGCCTCCCTGGTAAAGTCTATTCGGGGGTTCTGGAGAGGAGGGTCCCTCGGATAGTCGAACCTTGGATTCAGGAGGAGCAGTGCGGTTTTCGTCCTGGCTGTGGAACACTGGACCAGCTCTACACTCTCAGCAGAGTCCTGGAGGGTGCGTGGGAGTTTGCCCAACCAGTCTACATGTGCTTTGTGGACTTGGAGAAGGCGTTCGACCCCGTCCCTCGAGGGGCCCTGTGGCGGGTACTCTGGGAGTATGGGGTACCGGGCCCTTTGATACGGGCTGTTAGGTCCCTGTATGACAGGTGTCAGAGCCTGGTCCGCATCGCCGGCAGTAAGTCGGGCTTGTTCCCGGTGAGAGTTGGACTCCGCCAAGGTTGCCCTTTGTCACCGATTCTGCTCATAACTTTTATGGACAGAATTTCTAGGCGCAGCCAAGGTGTTGAGGGGATCCATTTTGGTGGCCTTAGGATTCCGTCTCTGCTTTTTGCAGATGATGTGGTCTTATTGGCTTCATCAGATGGTGATATACAGCTTTCGCTGGAGCGGTTCGCAGCCGAATGCGACGCGGCCAGGATGAAGATCAGTTCCTCCAAATCCGAGGCCATGGTCTTGAGCCGGAAAAGGGTAGAGTGACCTCTCCGGGTCAGGGAGGAGGTCCTACCCCAAGTGGAGGAGTTCAAGTATCTTGGGGTCTTGTTCACGAATGAGGGAAAACTGGAGCGTGAGATCGATAGGCGGATAGGTGCAGCATCTGCAGTGAAGCGGGCACTGTACAGGTCTGTCCTGGTGAAGAGAGAGCTGAGTCAAAAGGCAAAGCTCTCAATTTACCGATCGATCTACGTTCCTACACTCATCTATGGTCACAAGCTTTGGGTTGTGACCGAAAGAACGAGATCTCGGATACAAGCGGCCGAAATTAGTTTTCTCCGCAGGGTGTCTGGGCTCTCCCTTAGCGATAGGGTGAGAAGCTCGATCATTCGGGAGAGACTCAGAGTAGAGCCGCTGCTTCTCCACGTCGAGAGGAGCCAGTTGAGGTGGCTTGGGCATCTGTTTAGGATGCCTTCTGGACGCCTCCCTGGTCAGGTGTTCCGGACACGTCCCACCGGAAGGAGGCCCAGAGGAAGACCCAGGACACGCTGGAAGGACTATGTTTCTCGGCTGGCCTGGGAATGCCTCGGGATTCCCCCGGAAGAGCTGGCCCAAGTGGCTGGGGAGAGGGAAGTCTGGGCCTCCCTACTTAGGCTGCTACCCCTGCGACCCGACCCCGGATAAGCGGAAGAAAATGGATGGATGGATGGATGGAATCCCAGAGGGAAATTATTTGTTGTTGAACTCGTTATCCTCATTTCATTAAGAGATGTTATAGATGCTGATGGCTGCAGACAGGAAGGATCTCTTGTAAAGGTCCATCCCACAGTGGATCCTAAGAAACTGGCTGCAGATGCCGTCCGATCCATCCACTCAGACTCATCTGGCCTCTCGGTTCTCTCGGGCTGTAGGACCGCCCGAATGTCGGGCAGAACTCCTCCCAGAGTGATGGCCACTCCTCCCAGCAGCCTGCCGGGCTCCTTGTCACTACGAACAGCCAACTGTAGGTGCCGAGGGACGATCCTGTCTTTCCGCTGTCATGAGCCGTGTTTCCTGCTAGTTCCAGGATCTCAGTGGTCAGGCACTCGAGCACAGCTGGCAGGTAGATGAGAATGCATCCACAGAACATCCTTTTCAACTCACTTGAGATTTGGGGCTGTAGTTGAGATATTATTTGAGCTTTTGAGATGCTAATCAGCTGCTGTTGGTTGTAGAAAACTGCCTTGTTGCCATGGTTACGCATCATAACAAATGTCCAAAACTAAAAAAAGTTTCAGTAAAAATCCTTCCAGCTGCACAGCATCTGATACCAGAGGAAACAATCATCCAAAAAATGTGATTTACATCCAGAAAAAGAGGAATTAAAGTTTCCAAAAGCAAAATCTCAGAATGAAAGTAACAGAGCTGCTCCAACATGCAGCCACCTTGAGCGGCGCAATTCTAGAACCTTCTAATAATCTTCTTAGAATAGAATTCTAGAATCATGACCTGCTGACATAAAAGGTAGGTCAAATTGTGAAACTGCCTTTGTCTCTGTGTGTTCTGCTGTCTCTTTGTTAGCCAAATCTCCCATAAACTAAAGAAATTATTTAAAAGAAATTGTCAAAAAGAATTAATCATTAAATAAATGAAACTCACTGGATTTGCATCTACAACTGATTATTTTCTGAAATCAATCAGATTCAACATGTCCATCATAATACACAAGTTTAGCAAACACAAAATTACTAAGACTCTGATATTTTTACAAATGTTGAGCTAAAACTATGCATTTTATTTAGCCTTTATTTAACCAGGCAAATCCCATTGAGATCACAGATTTCTTTTGCAAGGGAAGCCTGAGCCTGAAAGCAGCCTAACATGCATGTTTTTGATCTGTGGGAAGACACTGGAGTACTCGGGGAAATCCACGCAAACACGAGGAGAACATGCAAACTCCACACAGAAAGATCCCAAGTCCAACCTGGGGATTGAACTCAGAACCTTCTTGCTGTGAGGCAACAATGCTAACCACTGGGTCATCGTGCAACTGTATTAGTGTATTAGCAGCTGAGAGTGAGATCCATCACATACCCTGAGCACTGACAGCCAAATATTTTACATGTGACAAACAATATTTTTGAGATTTGACCAAAATATAAATTTTCAGCTTGTAATCTTTGTCTTGCATTTTTATTTTGACATGCAAGTGGGCGAGTGATGTGCATTCCTTTGAGGAATGCTACTTTCACTTTAAGATTTAATTACAAAGTATTAAACTCAATTTAATTATTTTTTCTCTTTGCTTTCAGCTGCTCCCTTCTTCAGGGGTCTCCACAATGAGCGAATTTGTGCATTTTTTTTATGCTGGATGGATACTGATGCAACCACAGGCCATCAAGCTAACGCACCACTCTGTGTGGTGCATCTAGGGTGCCTGGGGGAGCGTGGGGGAGGGGATTGGGGGTCTTGCTCAAGGGTCCAGGGTATGGCAAATGAGGGTGTAGGCAGGTGTGAATACATCACCTTTTCCACCTACATTTTGATGTTATGGTTAGCAGGGGGTTTGAACAAGCAACCTTGCAATCACAGGTGTGCTTCCTTAGCTTCTGCTCTACCACTATTGGGCCAATTATTAACTTTTTTAATGTTATAACATGGCAGTGCAAATACAGAATATAATAAACACCTGCATGCATATATTGTTGAGAACCCTCATGGTAAGAAAAAGAAAAAAAAAAAGAAGCAAAAAAAAAAAAAAAAATGGGTCAATTTTTTTATAGTTCTTGCAAGATCTCAAAATGTTGGCACCCAAACTTTAGTTAAATTGTTAAACCAGAAATATAATATATTGTCTTTTATCATCATATTGTACAGCAAAGATCAGAAGCCGTGTGTGAACAGGTCAAACTTGCTCGTATAGCCAAAGCATTGAAGTAATTGACTTCTGTAAGATCTCTGTCTAATATCCTGATGCATGCTCAATAATCCAGGTAGAAAAGGCCAAAAGGATGGACCAGCACAGAAGAGCAACATCATCAGGCCAGGACTCTGTGGTCTACACTCATCTCCAGGCCACCGGTCAATCGTTTAGGGAAGAAGATGTTCACATCCTGGATAGAGAGGAACGATGGTTTGAGAGAGGAGTAAAGGAGGCCATCTTTGTGAAAAGAACCTGTCCATCATTAAACAGGGGTGGAGGCCTCTGTATCTAACTGTCACCTTCTTACAATGATGTTATTGTTAGTATCACTCAGCCCCCTGTGAATAGCAAGTGGCCACCAGAGCACTAACAATCCATCATTAGGTTGATGGTCCTCCTTTATCATGTGAACAGCTGGTTTTGATTGTCAGCAGCAAACTAGTTGATCCACGCTAAGAAGGTGCTATTTATAAGACTGAGTTTATCGCAGCACCTCAGACTGGCAGAGTATTTTGGATTAAAGGCAGAATGTTTCAACAAGCTTTTCATTTTTATTTTTTTTTATTCGTCCAGAGGACATGACTTAACTTTGTTAGATGTCTAACACAGTTTTTTGTCAAGAAACTTGCTGACCATTACGCTAAAACCTTTTTATTTCAGTTTTATCCGTTCAAAGTAGAATATTTTAGAAATCTTGTCTTTCTTTATCTCGAACTTTGGAATATTTAAGCTAGCTCTAGAGAGAAGAGGGGTTTATGAGAACCCTTCCAAACAAGTCATGCTTGTTTTTTTGTTTTTTTTTCAATCACATATTGATTTTTATCATTTATCATAACTGAGGCCTTTGCAGTCTGAGGTATAGCGTTTTATTTTTGATGGTTTCTCTGAACACAGAGCTGACAGACTGTGAAGTGTACTTCAGACAATCACTCATGGAAAGATTTTCAACGGTCTTGAATGTTCATTGAAAGATCTTGCTCTCTGTAAAACGATGAACACCAGAGAAAAAGAAAATGTTTATTTTGCCACGATTGATACATGATTGCGATGGAAACACTTTCAGTTTCCATCATAACTAAGACCCAAACTAAGCAAAATCTAATTTGACTACAAACTTGACTCATTCTAGTAAAGTTACCCAATTGCACAAATACACCTACCCTGCTGTCAGAGTTGGGGATCATGGCGTCAGTCATCCAGGAGCCAAAACGGGACCCCGAGGCTCTCACGGTGATCGGGTTGCTCACAGCAGTCAGACGACCGCAACCTATGAAGAGATCCCAAGAAACGTAATTTATAAATTATGCAGAAAAAGAAGAGGACAATGGAAATGAAGCTTTGATGTAGCAATGAGTGATGTTTACTCCACCAGACATGACGCAGCTTACCAACAGCTTGTAAAAACTTACAAGAAAAATAAAAACGATAAATAAAAAAAATTACATTTAAAAACAGAGAAAATCTTGTTTTCTTTCTTTTTTCCCTCCAAAAGCATGTTGACTTACAATTTAGCATCAATGTTTAATCATCTAAGCAAAGACATAAAGCTGTTATTCATATAGTTAGAAGTGAGGTTCTGTGGAAAGGTTATGAACAATTAATATATTACCTGTTGTACAAACCTTTATGAATGAGCTAAGAAGAAACAGTTTGATTCTATATTTGAACGTTAAGCTAACAGCTAGTCTGAGAGGAGCCCAGGCAAATACGCCTTCAAACACCTCCTATCTCTAACTCTTGCGCATTAAAAATTTCATGAATGTGATATTTAATAAATCATGACATTACTGTCAGTTTTGCATTACATATTTATTTAAATAGAATTTAGGTTATTTGAGAGCACACAAAAACATTTGCAGTGGCTTTAGCACATGTGATGCAACTTGGGGCATCTCAGCTGGAATATTGCAATTTTTTGCAGAAAGACTAGTTTATTATTTCCCCACCTGCCTATGAAGGTGTCTATCTTCATTGGGGGATAATTTGGTGTGTAATGTGAAAACTTGAAACTCTCCAAACTGAGGTTGTTCGAAGAGCTTATACAACATGTAAGATAGTATCGTATTTTCCACCCTAAAAGTTGCTCCACCCTACAAGTCGCATCAGTCCAAAAATGTCTAATAAAGTGGAAAAATCCATAAATACATCCCTTCACTGTATATGTCACATCTATTATGTGTCACTGCTGACGCGTCTCATTTGTTACGCTTCACCTCTGACAACCCAGAAATGTGGACCGGTGTTGTGCCAAACATCGATTGGCTGCTAAATGTCGGCCACTGGAGCATGCACAGGAGGACCTTAACAAGAATTTAACAAGATTAACACCTAAAACCAATCATTTGTTTGCTTGAAATTATAGTAAAGTTGTGTCTCGGTCTAACTTTTGCTTAATAAATGCACTTCGATGGTCAAATCAGCTGCATTTCAAAAGCCAATATGCTGAAGCGGGCACGCGCAGAGGGATGAGTCGCTGTGTATTTCTTCGAAATTTAACAAGATAAACACCAATTATTTGTTTGCTTGACTTTACAGCAAAGGTGTGTCTCAGTTGAACTTATACTTAATAAATGCACTTTAACGGTCAAATCAGCTGCAAAGTATTCGCTGCCTCAGTGCACTGGGAGCTTGCAGAGGGAGGAAATCAGGAAGGAGGAACGCTGCGCATTTTTTCAAAATTTAATAAGATAAGCACCTAAAACAATTATTTGTTTGCTCAACATTATAGCAAATGTGTGTCTCGGTTGAACCTTTACTTAATAAATGCACTTAAATGGTCAAATTAGCTGCATTTTGCCGGGGTGGTGCAGCAAAATGAAGCTGATTTGACGGTTGCTCCATGCAGACAACGGTGTCAGGCTGTGGCAAGCCAATTGTGTCATTAATAGCCACTTTTACCCATTAAATGATACAATGGCATACCATACAACCTCGAGGGCCATATAGTGGCTGAAAATGGTAGTGCTCAATATTTCAGTCAGAATGAATGAAAACGGTCATATCTCAGCCAAAAATTGGTTTTTAAATATGAGAAAAATCCATAAATACACCACTTCAGCGTATAAGTCACAAAACATGCAAATTATGCAAAAAAAGTGACTTATATGGTGAAAAATATGGTAATTGTTAATAAACTTTCTACAGAACCTCACTTCTAAAGCTCCGAGCATTAAAGTGATATCAAACTCCTTTATGTTTTAAACACTTCACATAAGCTCAAAAGGAGGCTGTAAAATGTTATTTCACTAAGTTTAGAATTTCTTTCAACTTGGATTCACATCAGTTACAATGAATTTCATAAAAAACTGGTTTTCAAGGTAGAAGCAGAACTCAGATGTCCACATAAATATCTGAAAGCATTCCTGCAGCATAATGCATTTTCCACCGTCTATTCACAGTCTCATTTTGTTCAGACCTTTCGCTGTTCTACGACTAGAGCTTGTGTCAGATTCTGTCTCAATCCTCACACACGACTTTGTCAGTGTTGGTTCTTTGAGCAATGGTTTCTATTGAAATAGCTGTTTCACAACTTTTTGAAATTGCTTGCTGTTTTGCAGGGAGTCAGATAAAATATTCATCATTAGTCTTGATTTTGTGAAGTAAATGTAAACGCCGTGTGAGCAGCCTGATTTAGCACAAAGCAAAGAGCCAACGTCTGGACTGAGTCGCGGCCTGTAAATAGAGGCCAAACAGGAGGATTTACAAAAGCTACTGGGTATAAGTTTACATTTACATGCAGGGGGGCATGAAAGGAAATGAGCACTTTCCCAGATGTCAAACTAATCCTTTAATGCTTTGTTTTTAATTGCATCTTTTCAAAATTCCATGCTGGGTGATAATCCCTCTGCAAGCATGGAAGAAATTATGCTACCCTTGTAAAGCAGAGCTTCACGGTGGTGCAGTGATTAATGTTGCCACCTTAACCTAATACTGGGATTGAACATGTTGGTCAGCCATGCCCTTTCTGTGTGTGGGTTTCATGTCCTCGCAGTGCCTTTATTTCATAAAAGAACAGATGGATCATCTATATTGTGTGATTTGTTATTTATTCTGCTACACTAAACAATCTTAGCAAACACAACAATGACAATAACTCAGCCAATTTTACAGAAATAGAGCCAAAATCTGGTGAATTAGTAGTGAGGGTCATTTCCAACACAACAAGCAAGATCTGTTTGTAAAACTGCCATGAGCTACTGAAATTAACTTGTCTGTCTTTTAGCAAAATATCTCATGAACTACTGGATGGATTAAAATTAAATACTCAGAAAGTGATCATTTGGTGTACATATAAACTTATTGACGTTTGGGGTCAGCATAATTCATGATAAGTGACTACCAAATAAAAAAAAAGATCTTAGTAAATGTCAAAATGGCTTAAAATCAGTTGTTTTACAAATGTTGAGCTAAATTTAGCGCGGTAGCTGAGTCCGCTTCATGCTCTGAACGGGTCCTATCACCTCTCATGAGATCTGAAAATTTTTGATGAGATTGTGCATAAAGTCAATAACAAGGTTTGATCAAAACCAGTGATAATTCTGTCTTAACATAATTAAATAAGGTTAATAAATGAATAAAGTAACCTCTTTTCAGTGACCCAAACAGGTGCTACATTTTTCCCTATGTGAAAATATGAACTCCTCTGTTGCATTGAACTTCAGCAGCAGTAATAAGTTGTATCAGTACCCAGTTTGTTCATGCAGCTGTGTAGTCTGGTCTCCAGCAGTAACACCCTCTGCTGAAGCTCCTCGTAGTCGTACGCTCCGATCTCCTCCTGAATGGCTGTCAGGACGATCGATAGGTTGAGCAGCTCTGACCGCAGGGTGGTCAGCGTCTGCAGGTCCAGTCTGTACTGCTCCACCACCGACAAGAGAGGCCGCAGCTGAGACATGTGACCCTTCAGCTCCTGTTGGTGCAGAAATGATCAGAGGTGAGACGGGAGAAAGCCAGAAGCAGAGTGGATCAATCTGAGGAAAGACATCTGCAGTTTCCATCCTTCACATTTCATTTTGTCGTACAATATGCAGCTGCTCAGTACGCAATCATCACTGCTGATTTAAAAAGTCAATAAATTATATATTAAAAATTATATATTAACCCTCCCCTATATAT